GGGGTGAGGAGGGAAAACTCCTAGGTAGGTTGAGGGGGTGGAAATACATATATATATATATATTGTTATGTGCCGTTGAGTTGGCCCCAACTCATAGTGACCCCTCCTTGGGTTTCCAAGGCAGTATCACTATGGAAGTAGGATTGCCCAACCTTCCTTCCGAGGAGTGGCTGGTGGGTTTTAACCGCCAGCCATCTGGTTAGCAGGCAAGTGTCTTAGCCACTATGCTACCACAGCTCCATACACACACACACACACACACACACACACACACATATAGAAACCAAAGATTATTAGTGGTTATCAGGGTAGGAGGGAGGGGGAAGGGAAGCTTTTGTTTGTGGGCCATGGAGTCCATGCTAATGGTGATGGCATATTTTGGAAAAGGATAGCAATAATGGTGGCACAACATGAAAAATGTCATCAATGTACCTGAGCTGTAAATGGGGAAGTCGTTATGTTGGCAAATGTCTTGCACATAACAGTTAACAAACCAACCACCAAGCAGCAGCCTGGGTACCCTGCCGCAGTGACAGTGTGGAGAGACCACATGCACAGAGACACCAGCCTCCCCCCACGCTTGAGCTGACCCAGCAGCTGGATGCAACCACGTGTGTGACCAAGGGCAAGACACCAGAAGAACCACCCAGCTGAGCCCAGCCCAGAGCACAGAATCGTGAGCACATGAAATGCTTATTGTTTTAGCTGGTATCCTTTGGGGCTGTATGTCTGGAGAAAAGATGAGGATTTGCACAGATTTATGGACAGTGATGGCTTTGACAGCATTACTTATATATAATGGAAAAACTCAGAAGTCACCTAATGTCTAACAAGAGAGCTTTGGTTAACTAAAAGATGATGGAAGCCATTTTTAAAAATATATTAAAGAACATGAGAGAAATGTTTATGGTACATTTCCAGTGTTGTTGCTGGGAGTGCTGTCAAGCCGGCTCTGACTCAGCGACCACGCAGAAGGAAACACTGCTGGGTCCAGCCCCTATGCAGAAGAAAGATGAGGCTGTCTGCTTCCATAAAGATTGACAGCCCTGGAAACCCTATGGGGTAGTTCTACTGTGTACTATGGAGTCCCTAAGAGTGGGAATCAACTCTGCAGCAGTGGATTAGGCAGTGATAAATACAACAATGGAGACAATTACTAGTTCAGCCTCCTAGGGTTCTTGCATTAAATAAGTAATCATAAAGTGCCTGTATTAGTGCCAGCACAAAGTGCTTAAGTGTTAGTTGTTGTTATTTTATTAAACATCTTCCCATTAGGCTGTGAGTTCCTAGTGCTGCTTTCCATGCCCAATGCCTGTCACCAAGTAGCATTCAATTAGTTGTTGAAAGAATGTACATATATCCCAAACCACGAAGGTTCTCAGCAGAACTAAAGAGTCTATCTCTACAGCTGCCCAAATGACTGGCAGAGTGGCTGAGAGAACATCTTTAAATAGGATCCACCCTGCTTGGAAGTCAGTTATGGTTGTAATGAAAATGTTCCCCCTCTACTGAAATACATGGTGGTGCTGGGAAAGAATACTGAAAACACCACGGACTGCCAGAAGAACGGACAAATCCATGCTGGAAGAAGTACAGCCGGAATGCTTCTCAGAAGCAAGGATGGCCAGACGTCATCTCATGTACTTCGGCCATGTCGTCAGAAAGGACCCATAATGGAGGGCATCATGCTGGTAGAAAGCAAAATAAAGATTCCAACCCTCAACGAGATGGATTGACACGTGGCTGCGACAACGGGCTCAAGCTGCCACGTTTATGAGGACAGAGCTGGGCCACTATGAGTCACAGCCTAGACTTGACAGCACTACCAGCAGTAACATTGGAAATGTACCATAAACATTTCTTTCACGTTATTTAATACATTTTTAAAAATGGCTTCCGTCATCTTTTAGTTAACCAAAGCTCTCTTGTTGGACGTTAGGTGACTTCTGAAATTTTCCATTATATAAAGTAATGCTGTCAAAGCCATCACTGTACATAAATCTGTACATATCTGATTGTATTCTATGATCAGTTCCTGGAAGTGGAAATTGCTGGGTTGGAGGGTCCGAACATTTTCCAGGCATTTGACAGATAACGTCAAGTAGCTTTTCAGAAAGGTACCAATTCATATTCCCAGTAGCCCTGTATTACGAGTGGCCATCTAGCTCCTTGCAGTGGGGCCAAGCATTATTACTTCTTTCATCTTTGTTAATTTGATGATGGGTGAAAAATGTATTAAGTTTGTTACTGAACCATGAACCAAATCAAAGATTAAAACACACACATACAGACACACCCCTTGTGAGCCAGTCAGAACCAGAAAAGAATCTCTTTTCCACGATGATTGAACTGTAACATCAAAATAGCCTCTGAAGTGAAACTCAACCAGTGTTTCAATCCATCCAGGCCCCTAATTAGGCCATAAGGGGACCACGCTGGAAACCGTGACCATATCTTGACCTTGTCAACAGTGTCCTACAATCACCAGCTTAAACAGGGCCGAACTTCCAGCCAGGTGTGTACAAAGCGCTGTACTGGTGTCGTTTTGCTCCAGCCCCCTTCCCTTAAGGAGCCATGTTGAAGGGAGCACTGTGATTGGGCACCTCCAGGGGTTGGGAATCCAAAAAACAAGGGTGGGCGTTTCTGGAGGCTGAGTGGCACCAGGAAGAAAGTCCAGAGCGTCTGGTGAAACCGTTTTGGGAGCAGGAAAACAAAGCCTTCTTGGCCTCCGTGCTCGCCAGCTGGTAAATTGTCCTGCAGAATGTTTATCCCGTCTTTCCTCTCTGGCAGCCAAACTGTTGAATCTTTTAGTCCTGGGGCCAGATCACAGACCTTCGGAGGTTCTAGCCAGAGAGGTGCAAATCTAACCTTTCCTCCCTGTTTTATTTTTGGAAGTGACACACTTCCACACAGGACCCGCTAAACAGCATGCACAGCCCAGTGCAAAACGACAACGCGGGGCCCGCGTTCCCACGGTATTGAGACTGCAGCTAGGGAGGAGGCCCCTCTTGAGAGCGGCCCCTGCTTCCGCGTGCTGATGCCGAGAAACCTAATTTCTGTAATATTTGATTGCAAAACTCATGACAACTCGCCCTTTGTGCCCTAACTCGAGTTTGCAGGCAGCACCATCCTGCTTCCGGGCTGGGCATAATCTCAAGTGACCGAAAATTCCGGAAGGGTTCTCGCAACACGTCCTGCGAGGAGTCTGCACCTCGGGCCGTGACGGATGCGGGGTGTGGGGGGTGCACGGGGTACACGGGGGCTGGTGCGTCCAGGTCTACGGCCGGCCGTGCTCCTCGGCGGCCCGGCCGCGCCGGGCAAAGCTGCGGGCCTGGGAAGCGTTGGGCCACAGGGGTCTGACTGGAAGACAAAGAAGAGGACAAAAGGCGGAGAGCACAGAAAGGCAGGCGCCTGGAGGCTGTTTTTTTTTTTTAAAAAGTAAATCTCCTCACACAGACACAAGGGCGAGGGCAGATACAGAAAAGATGGAAGCAGCACGACCGCCCTACTCTCTCCTTGGGCTTCGCGCCTCCTCAGGCGGAAGGGGCGGGGCTATCCTCGTGGTCGGGGGCGGGGCCCGAGCGGTAGGCCGCAAAGGCTGACGGAGGGCGGGGCGATTCGCGCGGTCGGGGGAAGGGCCCGAGCGCTAGGCCCTAAACTCAGACGGAGGGGCGGGGCAATCCGCTCGAGT